ACATGGGGGCTTCCGAAAATAGGGAACCCGAATATCGTACCCTAAATAGTAGGATCCTTGTTATAAGGACCCCAAACTGACGTACCTTAATCTCCGGAAACTCCCACATCTTGCGCGAATGCTGGAAGCTTCCCCGCGCTCTAGCAACATAGAAACGACAGGGAGCATGACATATGAACTGAAAGGAATGTTGATTCAATAACAACTGCTGAGTGTATGTCCACGCTTTATGATAGGGCACTGCAGCTATACTTTCATTGGCCATGTTGCGAGTTTGTGAAGGTGCGCTTTATGTTGTCTGTGCTTCGCAACAACTTCTCGGGCCCCTAAACCCTAAACACTAAACTCGTTCAGCCTGAAGTATTGCTAGGTCGGACACCCCCAACCCCGGATATCTGCAAGCAACAAGCCAACACCCCAAGGGTCCAAGTACCTAATAATCATACACTCTCCAAAATCCTAACCTACATAACTACTATCCTAAACCCTAAACCCTTAAACCTAAACCCTAGACCCGAGTACCTCATTATTTGGTCCTTTGGACCCTGAATGACAGGGCACGAATCCCTCCGAGCTCGAGGACCCTAAACCCAAAACCCCCCTGCGCACCCTCCCACAATCCCACCCTCCTCAAAAAACTTGAGCCCTACGGTTGATGATATAAATCCTGCATTACCCTTAATAGGGAACACATATTCATTCCCATAGTTTGGGGTCCTTAAGGTAATGCAGGATTTATATCACCAACTGCACCCTATACCCTAAACCCAAAACCCCCCTCCCCCAAAGCAAGCAAACAGGGATTTCCTAAGCTCCAACCTCACCAGCTGCGAGCTTTCCGTTTGCTGCGCCTGTTTCGGCCCCCAAGGTCTGCGTTTTGGAGTCTCGAGGTTTGGGGCCTAGGGTTTAGGGTTTAGGGCTTAGGGATTAGGGGTTTAGGGGTTTAGGTTTTGGGGTTTAGGGTTATGGTTCAGCGATTAGAGCAGTCTCAGGGCTTGAGTTTAAGGGTTTAGGGTTGAAGTTTCAGGCTCTGGGGTTGTTGAGGGTCAAGGGATGTAGTAAGCAGGTCTGAGGTGGCGTTAGGAGCCGAAACAACCAATTTGATGGACTTATCATCCCAGTTATAGCCTGCTTGCTGAGCTAAAGTCCGTCTTCATCAAAGGTTGAGTAAGCTCGAAACATGGCTTCAAGCACAGGATACTGTTGATGACATAAACCCTACATTACCTTACAGACCCTAACCTATGGGAATTCTGGTATGTTCCTCATGATGTGTAATGCAGGATTTATGCCATCAACCGTATCAACACGTTCCTAATCAACCTGAGCAGGTGCGGCTTGCCGGGAAGATGTAGGGACTTAGGCACAGTCCTGCCAACCGCAGACACTCCAAAATCACTTTAAAGCCCTCCGAAGCATATAGAGCTAAGACTCGCACCTTGAGCTGGCACCCTAAACCCTGAACCCTAAACTCTTAGGGTTCAGGGTTTAGGGTTCAGGGTTTAGGTAAACCGTCGTTCAGGCCGTATAGCAACAGAGAAGTCCACCAGCTTGGAAGTCTTGTCAGTTCAGCCCCAGGTTACTTCATACTCCACGAGACGTAGGGGTAATGTAGGGGCCTAAATAAGTATCAATGTCAATATATATATATATATAGATATACATATTTGTTTATCTTGTTTTATTTTATTCTCTTCTTTTCTTTGGGGGGGTCCCTATTTAGAATTATGGCACAGTGGGCCCCAAGAGCCTCTTCTAATCATTCAGGCCCCTATATTTTAGGCGGTAGGCGGTAGGCTTGGCATGCCAGGAGTTCAACCAACCCATGAGAACAAGAACCGGGTTTAGGGTTTAGGGTTGAGGATTTCGAGGGATCACAAATGGCTTGTACCCGACTTCACGACCGCTCTCAGTCATGTAGGGGCCTGAATAATTAGAATTAGAATAGGGTTTTGGGGTACATTATACTATAGTTATAGTAAGGAACCCCCAAAATACTATTGCTAACTATTTCAATAATTCTTCGAACGATAGCTTAGAAGCCCCGGGGCAAGCAGCTGGGCCCACACACGGCCAACCCTCTTCGCATGAAGCCCAGCATTTACGGGATCATGGGAGTTGTGAACATGGTTATAAGTTTTGAATACTCTAAAGCTCGGTTCGCACCAGGATCCGGCCGCCTCTAGACTGATTGGATCACGAAAAGGCGTTTGAGATAGTTGGGTTGGGACTTCACGCATAATATTCCGGTTCCCAGCATTAGGGGCTGAACTCATATCAGATGGCATCCACCTCGTCAAACAGTTGGCGCTGTGATTGCACAATTACGCTCCCTGAACTCGTATATAGGTAGTTCTCTAAATTAGGGTTCCTTTGTAGGTCCCCAATACAGTGCGGCACTCTCATGAAAAGGACCCCCAAAAGGGACCCTACTTTAGAGAAGTACCCTTTGAGGGTTCAAGGTTTAGGGCCTTAGGGCTTTAGGCGGTTTAGGGTTTCTGCCACAAAGACAAGGACCTGCTTTATAGGTCCTTGAGCTCCTAGAGTTTCGCGTGACTGCAGGATAGGATAGGACAGGTGGTTTGACTGCTCCTTTGGGGCTGAGTATATACCGGTATAATGGGCCGCTTAAAACCTATTCTACTTATTAAGGCCCCTATCTTTGTCAAAGCTCTGTTGAAGACCGGCCTCCGCGTCTACGCGGATGGTCCCTTTGAAGATGCATTCTGCTGATCCTGGCAGGTTTGGCGGGCTTGACGGGCTGAGTGTTCGGGTTTGGGGGTTTTGGGGTTTGCGGTTTCCCTGTAACAGAAAAGACCTACGTTTGTACGGCACTATATAGAAAAACCATAATAAGGACCCCCAAACAGGTAGGTCTTTCCGGCTGCAGCTTGGGTTTGGGGCTTGGTTTGGGTTTGGGGAATGTCGTTCAACACCCTAAACCCTAAACCCTAAACCCTAAACCCTAAACCCTAAACCCTAAACCCGAAACCCTAAACCCGAAACCCTAAACCCTAAACCCTAAACCCTAAACCTGGAACGGA